TATATGTATGTGTGTGTGTGCATATATATATATACATATATATATATATATACGCTCCCTTAATCACTCTGCAAACTGCCAGGTAGGTAATGTGTCACACCTTAGATGTAGCCGCACTGTCCGTTCAGCTCGCATCTACCCCATGGATTAAGAGAATCCATGTCTTTTCAGCCCACCCTTCCACCCATGTCTCTGTTCCCCTCCCTTTCATGTATTTTCTTCCCCGTTCTTCCATGTAGTGGATGTAGTGTGTATTGTATGCAGTGTGTGTATTGAATACATTGTGTGTCTGTGTGTATAGTGGATGCAGTGTCTGTGTTTGTATAGTGAATGCAGCATGTGTAGTGTATCTAGTGTTTGTGTGGTGGATGCAGTGTCTGTGTAGTGGATGTAGTGTTGGATAAGTGCTGGGGGTGAGCCGTTTAAATTAAATTGGACTTATCCCCTCTCCCTGCTTCTTACCTGTGGGCTGGAAAGGGGGGATAGTGTGTAGGAAGATGACACTTTAGGGTGGCAGTGTGTAAGAAGGTGACAGTGTGGGGGGTAGTGTGTAGGAAGGTGACAGTGTGGGGGGCAGGGTGTAGGAAGGTAAAAGTGTGGGGGGCAAAGTGTGGGGATGACCGTGTGGGGGACAGAGTGTGGGGATGACCGTGTGGGTGGGCAGACCTACAGACAATATGCCTTCACTGATACACATACACTCATTGTCTCACACACTGTTTAACACACACGTTCACTGACAGACACACACTGACACAAACGCTCAGAGTCACATGCATTCACTAACAGACACACATTCACTGACACACTCACTAACAGACACACACCTACTGGCAGATACACACTGACAGTAACACACACATTCAATGACAAACACAGATGACACTGACAGACACACACACATTCACTGGCAAACACACAAACACTCAATGACCAACACAGATCCTCGATGACAAACACAGACTCTCACTGATTTGACAGACACTCACAGACACACACACACACACACACTCACTGATAGACACACACTCACTGACAGACACACACACATACACACACACATAAACACTCACTGGCAGACACAGACACACACACACACACTCATTGACAGACACACACACACACATACAAATTACTAATATTATTAATGTAATTTATCCACCTAGCCTTCCTACCTGGAGAGCTGGAGTGGATCTGTCCTTGGGTCCAGGCTGGCAGCTGTGAGTACATCCAGAGGCGGCAAGGGAGCTGTAATCCTTCTGCTAGGTTCCCTCGTGGGCCATCTACTGATGCAGGGAGCCGGAATACAATGACACGCCCCAGCGATGCCTCTGAACCCCCAGTAAAAAAATAAATACATAATTGACTGCATGCAAGTTTTCATTTGGGGCATATCTACTAAACAGTGATTTTTATTTATTTTGTGTTTGGGCAGTGGAGCGTCGTTAAGGGAGCAGAAGTGTTTAGGCTTCTTTTAACTTTCAGGATTTTAACTACTATTGTGTACTATTTAAAAAAACTAAACAAAAACATTTGGGCCTTTACGTTATACAGTTAGCTATTCCTCATACAGACGATTAGAGAGGAACGGAAGCTGGGTGGCAGAGATGCTGGTTTCAAAATTATGGAATTATCGATTCAGAATGACACAAAATTCTAAAGAATTTCGCAACTGAAACGAAATTCTGTATTTCCATAAACCCAAATTGGTGCGCTGTTAAGCAGAAAGTTCCCTAATTAGGTATCCTTAAAAATTGTAATCCCAAAGAAAGGTGCTAAATTAGGGAGCTATCTATTAAACATATTATTCAAAGGATTAAAATATCCCCCAAAAAATCAAGTATAAAAATGTTTTTTTCCCCAGATATTAAACCATTTAAAAAGTTTATTTAAAAAAAACATTTAAAAAGTTTATTCAAAAATATTAAATTGGAGCCATAATTATAACAATTTTGGTCTGCCTACCTGTAGCCAATACTTCTCCAGCACGCGTTTTCTAAACTCCATTTTTGAGTAGATATTGACCTCTAGTGTTCAGTAGTAGAATATGAATTTATGGTTGTCATACAATGCTGTGAATAACAATCTAAATTCCGTTAAGCTTGCTTTACACAACCTTGAGCCCATGAGTTATGCCAATATTGTAAAAAAAAAAGGGACTTTATGCATACAGAGTACAAATATACAAACTTAAGCCCTGCAATCAAACTCTCACTACTCCTGGGTGTCAGCAGTGACTACAGTACACATTAGCCCCAATACATACAATAAAAATTAAAAAGTTACTTGCGCACTATCCCAAATCCCTTTTCACATTTAAATAACTGGAGGTTTTTTAGTATCACTCTAATGCCCATTTAAGTATAAGATCACCTGCCACGTCAAGGCAAACCTCTCAGGGGAGTCACTTTACTACCAAAAATACATGTTTTAATGTATTTTTGTCTCAGTATGCCTAGATAGTGCAATATCTATTGGAAACCATAAAATAATTTTGTCTGGATAGAAAAACTCTGGATAAAGAAAATCATTTAAAAAGTAATAAGGTTACAGATGGGAAAACAGAGTTGTAAATAAATAACAGTTCTCAATATGTAACACATAATTTTTTTCTTCTCACATATACATTGACCAGTATGCACACAGTTCTTAGTTGTGTCTGTGTCTGTGTGTACATTACACAGAAAATTATTAAGGATGCACATTCCAATAATAATATAAAATATAACATATAAAAGGGTATCAGATACCCTTGAGAAAGGCAGCCAGTAGGGTGCCGAAACATTGGGGGAGGGGGAGGTGTGTGACTCGTGCTCTGTACTGTGTGGCTTCTGCGAAAGATGGTGATCTCTATATGTTAAGTATACCTATATTAGCTTTGATGCATTGTACATGGTCCTATATTTTCTGTTACTTTGTATTTATTTTTATTAATTTCTAATAAAATGTTATATTTTAGATTATTATTGGAGTGTGTGTTCCTTAAATATTTTCTATTTTAAGTTTTCCAGGCATTTTTGGGGAGTGCCTATTTTTGGATGTGCATCTTGCTTATGATTATATTATTTAAAGTGATAGATGGTACACCCTCTGTGCTAGATTAGAATTGATATTGGTGTATATTACACACACACATAATTCAGCACACTCACTTATCCACTAAACAGAATCTTTAAAACATACTGATTTTAATCGTTTTTAAAAAACACCTAATTATGGCAAAAATATGGGGGTATGGTTACAGTATATGATCATACATTGCATAAGCGTGCCACAACGTCAATGTACCCCATTTTTGTCCGATCCTACTCTAGCAACCTAATGTCAGTTCTTCTGGGATTAACCAATTTACTTTGGAAAAAAACTTCCATCTGAGGCTCTCTGCAGTACAAGGTTAATTAGGGCCCTGGAATGAGGTACTTTTGACAGAGAAGGGTGTCTGTATATAATTAGGGTTTTAATACAGGGGTGTGTTTGTATGCAATGTTTGCGTTTCGATTGAAGTGGTGTGTTTGGGTATAATAATAAAAACAAACAGTATAACAGACACCCCCTCTAATACCACCAACACAACGTTTCAACTCCCAAATTACAGTATTCAACACAAGTAAAACAACATAAAATGGTGTGGTGTATATAGTAATTTGTAATTCTCTGTTGTTATTGTAGTGAGAAAACACATTAAGCTTACATGAATAAGCAGTCTTCAGTATGTAAAATATGCTAACATCTCCCCAGATCCACTAAGAATTTTACTAGTACTGCAACTGGAATAACATGTGAAATTAAGCACTTTATTAATGGTTCCTCAAAGAATGTTATATATTTGCTCCAATGCCCCCTGTGGAGCACAATACATTAGACGAACAATTAAAACTTTAAGAGAACGTATCCTTGAACATAAGAGGTCTATTTTTAAAATACAAAACACAATGTGCCCAACCACTGTAATATTTGTGAAGTTTTTGATTTTAAACAATGTTTATGTATAGGAATAGATCTGGTCAAACAAGATATGGGGAAAGAAAATATGATTTTAAAAAGTATGCAAACGTTAAACAAGGTGGATTTACAAGATGAAAGCTTTTAGGGGGTGGGGCCTTAACGTAGATCTTGATATCATAGCTTTTATGTGATTTATTAAGTGAATTGGTATAACCTATTATTTATTTTTTTATGTATTTTTTCCCCCTTTTTGCTTCCTTTATCTGAGCGTTGAATGTCTTTTTAATACAATAATAACAAAGTGTGTGCCCTGGAAAAGTGCATTCAGACATTCTCTGGTTTCCAGGATGAGGGGCTTGGTCGGCCCTGCTGGAAATTGAACCTGTGGCCCTGGGTGTTGAGCAGATTCTGTGGATGTTGCATTGACCCAATGGGCTATCATATAAGTATGTTTCTGTGAATTTTTAAACATCCAGTTTATTCACTTAAAGAAAAACATTTTATGATGTACAATGTACTTCATATTTTGAAGCAAAAATCCTCTTGCTGTTTCCAGCTACTGACCCATTTCTTTAATAAATACCTACGTCAAATTGTTCGCACCCTTTTTAGCCGAACGTCTCAAAGATGCAATCAGGAAATTAATCCATACGGACCATATTGGATTTATACCAGAAGAGTAATAAACATCCTTGACAATTTTAAAAGGAAAAATACACCGCTCTTAGCTATAGCAGTAGAAGTGGAAAAATCATTTCGATAGGTTAAACTGGAAATTCCTTAAACGTGTATTAAAATCCTATATTATTAATGGGAAGACTGGAAGAAACAAAAAGAAAAAAAATCAGCGCTAAACTGCCACAGAGAAATGTAGTAAAACGGCTGCACACCTTGTGTTAAAACACAAGAAAACGCACAATAGAATAATGGTGCGCCTAAAACGTATAATAAAATATATGTTATAAAATAATGATAAAATATATATTATAAAAGAAAAAAAGGGAGGTGGCCAAAAAGTAGTAATCCAACAGGACAGAATAGGGGGTAACCCTAATGTGGTAAATGTTTATGCAAAAAGGAGAAAATCTGTCCTATATTTACATATTTATATATAGGACAGATTTTCTCCTTTTTGCATAAATATATTATAAAATGATGATAAAATATAATATAAAATGAATGGTTAACAGTAGTCCAAATAAAATATCATAAGTCCGAAATGATAGGATCCACGTGTAGAAAGAGGACTCTTGAGATATAGGATGAAGTAAATCTTCACGGTTGTATGCTTGGAATTCAGTGGAGCATATGTAAAAAAAGAAAGACAAAAACAGGACTCCAATGGCACAGTATATAGGTGAATAAAATTATAAGGTAGTAATAGTAGTATTACTCACTTTTCAGAGCTAAAACCCAGCTCTGATATTGCACGCGTGAAGTGGAATAATCCCCACTCAAGCATATATGAGGTAATACTTGATTGGCAGATATCTGGCACAGGTTCAGCGTCCAATATTGGTATTGTTCGACCCAGAAGTAAAAGGATAAAATATAGTGAAAAAAAAGCCTTTTTTTAACTATTATCTACTTGAAGAAGACTTTTTAGGCGAAATGCGTTTAGATATTGTTTTACTACTTTATAATAAAGAAATAAAAAAACACTGATTCATGGTTAATTAAATTGTACATTAAATAGTACTTCGACATAATTAGTGCCTCAACATCCAAAAATGTTTATTGGAACCCTAAGTGAAATTCTAGTGCATATAGGTATTGACTAAACCCAAAGAAGACAGCCAGGTTCTGGGGGTGAATAATTCCTTGTCAGTTGAAATAATGTTAAATTGTACAATTTGTAGCGATCGTCCCATAATCAATGATAACTATGATTTAAAATCCTATGAATAACTCCACCATAAACCATAATTGTAATATTACATTAACATAATTTAATTAGTCATAAATATATATCAAGAGATGGAAACATGAATTTCCTTTTCCACAAATCAAAAGTGGATAAAAGGAAACAATTGTTGACAGTTTTCTTAAAACATAAAAAAAAATCTACACTAACTGGTAAACCAATTATTTCGGGCAGATCCAACTTAACTCAAAATATCAGCATATATGTTGATAAGATCCTGATATAGATTGTCACAAAACTCGTCCCGTCGTATATTAGAGGCAAACAAACATTGAATGTTCTAGATGGTATATAACTTCCCAACAATGCAATTCTGTGTAGCCTCTACAGTTCCATCCCACAAACTGTGGGTCTGTATCACTTGAAAGCCTCTCTGGACACACATTCAGCAGCGTTTACAAGACATAATAAGTTGGTATAGGAATTGATGCATTTCATTCTCATGCATAATTACTTCCTATTTCAGGGGAAATATTACCACAAGGTGAGAGGGACAGCTACGGGGACGGCTTGTGTCCCCTCGTATGCCAACCTCCACCTGGGTTGGAGGGAACTGTCATGTATTCATCCGAACATAAAAATGTGGTTAATGGCATTTACTGTCCTGACAGGAAAAGTTGTGCTGAGCAACATTACTGTCCTGACAGGAAAAGTTGTGCCGAGCAACATTACTGTCCTGACAGGAAAAGTTGTGCTGAGCAACATTACTGTCCTGACAGGAAAAGTTGTGCCGAGCAGCAATCAAATCCACAGGAGGGTTTGTGCTGAGCAGCAATCATGCAAATGGAAACCTGGTAATTGCCTTTGTGGTCAAAGGCTGGTTACAGCCAATCAGATCCACAGGAGGGGTATTTAGGCCCAGTTCTCCTCTTGCTTAGTGCCCTGTCGTGGTTTCATGTATATGGTTATCCGAGAGTGCGTTCCTGATCTTGATTTTCTGGTATATGACTTTGTTTTGACTTCCCTGATATCTGGTATCCTTGACTTTTAGCTTTCCCTCATCTTTGTGTCTGAGTCTGTGTCCCTGACCTTGGCTAGTATTTTGACTATCCTTGGAGATGTTAAGTCCGGCCATTCTAAGGTCCGGTTATATGTTACCCTTAGTCCTAGGTGTGACACAGTACTGCGTGCTGGATTAATTTGTAATCCTGACAGAACAGACCATGGTGTTCGATACCAGACTTGAAGAATATACTCAACATGTCATGCTTTGGAAAAAATATATTGATGATATCCTGATAGTCTGGACGGAACCGTGGCTATATTTAATAAATTTGTGGACACACTTAACCATAACAACTTCAATCTAAGATTCACCTCTGAAATAGGTGGAAAAAAGATCAATTTCCTTGACATCACAATTACAATTGACACTGGAGGACACCTATTAACCACACTATTTTGGAAATCCACTTCTACCAACAGTCTTCTGAATTGGGATAGTTATCATCCCCCCGCCCTCAAAAAGGTATCCCAGTGGGACAATATTTGCGCCTTTGACGCAATTGTTCTACTTTGGATGAATTCAAGCAGAAAGCAATGACGCTGAAGGCCCAGTTCAGAAAGAAGGGATATCCGAATAGGTTCCTTAAAGCTGGGTATAAACGTGCTCTCCTAATTGACCGCAAAGACCTTCTCACTGATGATCTACTAGACAAATCCACTTTGGATACTATTAGATGCATCTGTAACTTCGACGCTGGCCGGTATTCAATTATTAAGATCCTGGGGATGTTTTGGCCCCTACTGCATCAAGACAAACATCTACACAAGGCAACCACTCCTGCGTGTCTCTGTCACATATTCATCCACACATAAAAATGTGGTTAATGGCATTTAATGTCCTGACAGGAAAAGTTGAGCCGAGCAACATTACTGTCCTGACAGGAAAAGTTGTGCCAAGCAGCAATCATGCACATGGAAACCTGGTAATTACTTTTGGGGTCAAAGGCTGGTCATGACCAATCGGATCCACAGGAGGGGTATTTAAACCCAATTTTCCTTTTTCTCATTGCCATATTGTGGTTTTATGCCTATGGTTATCCGAGAGTGCGTTCCTGATCTTGATTTTCTGGTATTTGACTTTGGCTTTGTTTTGACTTCCCTGATATCTGGTTTCCTTGACTTTTGGCTTTCCCTCATCTTTGTGTCTGATTCTGTGTCCTTGACCTCGGCAAGTATTTTACTATTTTTGGAGACGTTAAGTCCAGCCATTCTAAGGTCCGGTTATACGTTATCCTTAGTCCTAGGTGTGACACATTACTGCGTACTGGATCAACTTGTTATCCTTACAGTCTCGGTGACATCGAGACATGGGAGGAACCTGAAGGACATCTTGGTCCCTAGTTTTCTTAATACTACTACTACCAAATCAACATGGCTTAAACTCTCCACAGTAGGCACCTACCAAAGTGGCAGGTGCAAAACATGTAAATTTATAAGAAGACCATCTAAGACATTCTCTGACTCAACTAACACCCATGAATTTACCACCAAAAACTTTTTCAACTGTCAATCAGTTGGATTAGTATACCTACTGACTTGCTCGTGTAATTAATTATACGTGGGAAAAACTATTCATGCCTTCAAACTCAGGATCCGCGAACACGTCAATTCTGTTAACCCATGGAGTCTAGTGGACATTCCAATCTCAAATCATCTTAAACTTGTCCATGGTGGTTCATCAGATGGACTTCGCTTCTGTGGCATCGAAAAAGTGTCACTTGGTCCTAGAAAGGGTGACCTTGACAAGAAGCTTCTCCAAAGAGAGAGCCTCTGGATATATAAACTAAAATCACTGTCACCAATGGGCCTCAATGAAGGTTTCTCATATACATAAATGTAAATATTGTAAATAGTAGTTATGATTGCTTCATTTTTTATTTATTTTTACTCTCATTCTATCCAAGTAGCATTTGTTATTAATTCCATCCATTATAACCATGCAGAGCTCACTATATTTATATGGGTATGGAATCAAGGATTTAATATTACCAAGCATCCAGGATTCCCCTTAAGATACATACATTAGTGTTGACAATATGACACATTCATCAACGTGAGTGTATGTACTTATACATGTAAATACTTAGTATGATCAGATATTAATATCTATGTGCCTATGACACACTTACCACATGAGTGTATGTACATATAGATGTAAATATTTTTTAAGATCAGACATTAACCATCCCTGGGGACATCCAGACGCTTTCTGTACTTATGTATGATACATGTAAGTTACACTAGGAGATCTGGATGGGCTTGTGTACCCGCGATTGTTAGGGTGATAATCAGTGTTACTGATACACTGGTTGGTAATATTTATAACTACTTTGCCCATACTTCGAGTACATTCATGCAGACACTTACTCCACTCACTCTGTGGATCTGAATTCCGGCTGAATGCTGGATCACGTAGGAATAATTATGGACCATTGTGATTGTGATGGACGTGGGTTTATGGGGTCGTTAAGTACTCGTTTCTTTTTAAGCTCGGTAATCGTTGACTTTGTCGGCTCGCACTTTGTACCTATGTCTGATACATGTTGGTCACATTAGGAGATCAGAAGGTGCTTGAGTACCCATGGTTGCTAAGGTGATAATCAGTGATATTGATAGACACTGGTTGGTAATATGGATGATTACTTTGCCCACACCTCAAATACACTTGTGTGGACACTTACTCCCCTTACTCTGTGGATCCTAATTCCAGCTGACCCAGATCCACTCTGGATCACGCAGTAATAACGATGGACCACTGTGGTTATGAAGGATGTGTGCTTGTGGGGTCGCTAAGCACTCTTTTCATTTCAAGCTCGGTAATCGTTTACTTTTCCTGTTCGCACTTTGCTGCCATGGGTCACGCAGCGGGAAGACAGGAAAGCATTGGCATCTACGTGGAGGTCTAGGTGTATGGGGTAAGGATGACTTCTGCCTTGACATATGCCCTGATTGGAATATATCTTTAAGATTACTAATAAGGCGTTCCCCATATATGCCACATACACACCCCCTTATTAAAGTTGATACCCAGGGCTCCCGCGTGCACCGAAACGCCCGTCGGACATTCTTGCTTTTTGTTTTATCATTGGGCACTTTATTTTTCACTAATGGTTAGCATGTTGCTTTGATGGTTCACTTACTTTGAGTTTTACTTCTGATCTTTCCTCCTAAGTCTGTCTAGCAAGCTTAACAGGGAGAGAGGCTTTGATAGTTTAACTTCTTGCCAGTCTTTTACTGCTAATAGCATTTTTCAGCTTTCTCTAATTGGCTATTTTGTATATACCTATTTGGTCACTTGGCCACCCAACATGCTTTATTTAACTCATTTAAATAGCCCTTCATGCCTCATACAGGCTGACTTTATCGTGACTGTCTATTTGGTGTTATGTATACTGACTGACTACATAGCCTCTCTTTCCTAGCAGCAAACAATTGTTCTCACAGGGGCTGACCTGTGTTTGTATGTAGAGCCATATTTAATTTTTATTGTGATACCAGCCTTGTGAGACTTTGTACAATACTATATATACAATATATTTTGAGATAGGAGGTTTAGCATACACGGTGTTTATTGTAGTGTATTTTATTTATTTTTTCTTTTAAAACTGTACTGCAGAATCTCAGGAGGACATTTACTTGCTACAGGTTAATTACTTTATATTTACAGTTAGCAATACTACTATCTATATCTCCAGGGAGCATGGTATGTTCCCTTGTGGTAAACCTGCATGCTCTGTTTTATTTTGTCTTTTTAGAACTTTCTATAACCCTCACTCCTACTCTCACTCTTAAACCCTTCTAAATTTCTATACATACTGTATTGCACCACAAACAGCATCCCATGTTTCCAACCAAAATTTCCACCTTTGAAGCACGTCTCTACCCAAGGACAAACTATACCTTCTTTCCATTGCTTTTTGGCTATCAATACACCATCATAAAGCAATCCCCAGCCTGCTTCCCTTTACTCTAGCTATGAGAATGAGTTAGATGTGCAGAGATTTGTAAAAATTGATGCAGCTCAAAGTCTTCAAAATTATCAGTAAGCCCTGAATTCTTATTTCAAGGTTGCCTCGGTTAATTTTGACCAAAGATTTGCTATCTTTTCCACGTCACACACAATTCTTGGACTGAGTTCTACTTGTTCCCAAGAGATAGAGCAAAGCCATGGAATTATCACACAACTGCTTCACAAAGACAAGTTTACGAAACAGTGGACCTTGCATAAGTAAAAACCATGGCATAGCGGTTATTTTACAAAGCAGTTACACTCAAAATGAATGGAACATCTCTTGGGGATAAGCTACTTATCACATTAAAGTCATTGTGCAGAAGTTTGTGGGATGGAAGTTTCTTCCTGATAGAGTAGACGGGTCTGCTTACTGCTTCAAGCAGACCCAATAAACAGAGTATTAAGGAAACTTGAGATTTCAATAAAAAAAAATATTTATATATTTATATGTCCATTTCTAAAACAAATATACATTATAGAATTTTAATAGCGTTAATATTTTCATTTTACGGCTGAACAAACATACATTGATTGTTTTGATGACAGTCATTTAAAAGATCCAAAAAGCATTGAAAACTTTTTTCTATCCAAAATGTAACCGAATCTTGTTGTAAAATACAAAACATCTGGATTGCTGTATCGTTTAAATTGAAGAAGGATTTCATTTTTGTCGTCTCCAGTTTCTTCCAGTGATTGTATATCTGTTACAGGAATGAAAATGTCTTTTCTTTTGCCCCAAAACGTCAAATGAGAAACTTTTACAGTTGTGCCAGCATCATTTAAGTAAATCATTCCTATAATTCTCCGAAGAAAATAACTTAGACAATACAACATTATACAAGCAAAGACAGCAGTGCCAGTGCTGTATTGAACACACAAATATGTGACTTGTCCTTTCATATAGTAATAATAAATAGGAGGCAGGAATATCACGGTTAAACTTGTCTGAAGTATTTTAAGTCTTGAAAGACTTCTGCAGAACCGTATCCCATGTAGCTTGTATATCAATGTAAAATTATCACATTTGTCATTTTGCTGGGATTTGGATGGACAAGGAGATTGTGTGTTTGGTACCGTATGTTGTGGCTTATTTTTGTGATCAGATGATGAAGAAGTGAAACTAGTTCTGCAAAACGGCTTTGACCTCCAGATCTTCCGTGACAGATGAGATTGCCAAAAACGGACAGAGAGAACACCGACTTGTAGCATTTTAAAATATCTGTTTTAGAAAGATACAATAGCATACATATCAGTTAAATTTGTATTTGAGTCTACATAAATACAGAATTTAATTTTCATTCCATTTCTTATTTCACTACAAATAACTGGCCCAGGATGGCACATCCCACAGATGGGGCTGGTATGGCTGGCACCTATACACAATCATGGGAAAAAGAAAGCACACCGTCTTTGAATTCTATGGTTTTACATATCAGGACACAACAATCAGCTGTTCCTTAGCAGGTCTTACAAATTAGTAAATACAACCTTAGATGGACAATAACACATGACATATTACACTCCCTCATGATTTAACAAAAATAAAGCCAAAAATGGAGAAGCCATGTGTGAAAAACTAAGTACACCCTTACTGCTTTCATAGGAATTAAGAGGCTTGGTTGCAGATAACTTCTGCTAATCAAATAAATTCCGTTGATTAATTGTCCATCAGAAAGTGTGACCACCTCTTTAAAAGCCAAAGTTTTATCACTTTGCTGATCTGGAGCATTCACGTGTGTTAACATGATGCCAAGGAGGAAAGGCACCAGTAACGATCTCAGAGAAGGAATTGTTGCTGCCCATCAAACTGGGAAGAGTTACAAGGCTATTTCCAAACAATTTAAAGTCCATCATTTTAAATTGAGAAAGATGTTTCACAAGTGGGAAACATTCAAGACAGTTGCCAATCTTCCCAGGAGTGGACGTCCCAGCAAATTCACCCCAAGGTCAGACCGTGCCATGCGGAGACACTTGTAAAAAACCCAAGAGTTACATCTAAGGCCTCAGTTAGGATGTTGAATGTTAAAGTTCATGAACGTACAATTACAAAAAGACTGAACAAGTATGATTTATTTGGAAGGGTTGCCAGCAGAAAGCCTCTACTCTCTAAAAATAACATGGTAGCACGGCTTAGGTTTGCAAAGATGCATCTGAAAAGAACCACAAGGCTTCTGGAAAAATTACGATTGAACAGACGAGACATGTGGCAAGGTGCCGCGGATCTTTGAGAGCATGACCAGCCTCTGCAGTATCAGCCGACTGGGAGGAAGTGACAGCCTGTCACTTCCTTTCAGCTTTACATAACGAGCTGCGTTGAAGGAATGGAATGAGGAAGGAGGAGGCAGGAGGCAGCGGCTCATATAGCAGCATGGAGGCAAAGATGAGTTTGGAGTGAACTGCTGCTGCATGCTTGCTCCCATTAGCTTCAGCCAGAACCCCGAACAAGCCACCCTCCTGGACACAAAAGGTAAGCTAACAGTAGGGTGGCTGAAAATAAAAACATTTTAACATGTATTTTTATTTTTGTCAGATTGTGTGTATCTGTACCAGTGTGTGAACCTGTGTGTCAGTGTGTGTATCTGTGTCAAGGTGTGTGTATCTTTGCGCCAATGTGTGTGTTATGACCTGCAGTGGTTATGGTGCTGCGGTCTTCTGTTCCCTTTCCCAACAGCTGAGCATGAGTGATTATAACTGCATCAGGGAGTCAGGGCCGGCGCGTCCATAAGGCGGCACAGGCGGCCGCCTTAGGGCGCGCGGGCTCTGGGGGCGCAATATTTCAGTGACCGGCAGGAGGGAAGCTCTCCCTCCTGCCAGGCCACCATCTCGACCCCCGGTGCGGCAGTGCTGTGATCAGGCGCGGCGAGGGAGCTCTAACCTCTCTGCTCCCTCGCGCGCTGCCTGCAGATGCCGCGGGAGCCGGAATATGACGTCATCCCGCAGCATCAGTAGGCAGACCGCGAGGGAGTAGAGGATGGAGATTAGAGCTCCCTCGCCGCGCCTGATCACAGCACTGCCGCACGCCTCTCAGCAGCCCCAGGGACAGATACATCATCCACATCAGCTCTCCAGGTAGGGAGGCTGGGTGGAAAATATGTAGTTATAAAAATAATTAGTGAATGTATGTGATGTGTGTCTGTGAATGACAGAGTGTGTGTGTCTGTGTGAGTGACAGAGTGTGTGTGTCTGTGAATGACTGTGTGTGTGTGTCTGTGTGTGTGAGTGACAGAGTGTGTGTGTCTGTGTGAGTGACAGAGTGTGTGTGTCTGTGAGTGACTGTGTGTGTGTGTGTCTGTGTGAGTGACAGAGTGTGTGTGTCTGTGAGTGACTGTGTGTGTGTGTCAGTGACAGAGTGTGTGTGTCTGTGTGTGTGTGAGTGACAGAGTGTGTGTGTGAGTGTGTGTGTGTGAGTGTGTGTGTGTGACAGAGTGTGTGTGTGTGTGACAGAGTGTGTGTGTGAGTGACAGAGTGTGAGTGACAGTGTGTGTGTCTGTGTGTGTGTGAGTGACAGAGTGTGTGTGTCTGTGTGTGCGTGAGTGACAGTGTGTGTGTCTGTGAGTGACAGAGTGTGTGTGTCTGTGACAGAGTGTGTGTGTCTGTGAGTGACTGTGTGTGTGTGTGAGTGACTGTGCGTGTGTGTCTGTGAGTGACTGTGCGTGTGTGAGTGACTGTGCGTGTGTGTCTGTGAGTGACTGAGCGTGTGTGTCTGTGAGTGACTGAGCGTGTGTGTCTGTGAGTGACTGTACGTCTCTGTGTGTCTGTGAGTGACTGGAAAAATGCATCTTCGCCTATGTACCTAAAAATCCAAGCACCGGCCCTGCAGGGAGTAGAGGAATAAGGTAGATGAAATGCAGTTCCAAGGTGATTCTTCTCAGCAAGTAGAATATCCCCCAAACATGAGCCTAGACTTCATGAAGGGTGTAACAGGAATGAATTTTATTGACACACACGGGCTTTTATGAGAAATCCTCCTGCAAGAGGACCTCCCACAGCAAACAAAGACAACAGCCAATCAACATACAGATTTACAGTAATACACACCTCTTCTCTGCCTGGGAGATATTGAGATAATTTAAGGAATAAACCAATTATCTCCAGGCAGAGAGCACACAATTTCCCCAAAACTTAGAACACCCCTATCCCCACAAGGTATCCCCACAAATTACATAGCCCCTATCTGGGGAACAAACATATCCAAATTTCACCCAGATTGGTTCAGGGGTTCTGAAAAAGTGTGGAGGGTCCATTTTACCGACCACACACGCGGCTCCTGCCCAAAACAGTTCCATGAATTCAGCGTATGCGGTCGGTCAATTCACAAATCTGTAAAAACCGAACAAAAGTCCCGAATGGATCCCCCTGGCTCATTGTAACGATTGTTCCCCTTGTCCGTTCGCACAGAACTACCGAATGGCGCTTCCCTGGCTGTTCGGGAAATACAAGAAGCCGGCCTTCGGTAGTTTCAGCGGTGGTTCGCGAGGTCGAGAGTCCGATTTTAGTTCCAGACACTTGACGACCAAGTCCTGCTGACTCCCCTCGTGCGAACAAGATGGCCGCCGTTTTCTACTCCACGTGGCGTTCGGCTGTACGAACACCGGCCGCACAGGGAGCACTTAATAGCTGGTTCCTTTGTAGTTAATGAGCCAGGAGGGTGGTCGGCGTTCGGTACTTTCAAACTACCGAACCAATACATTCAATATATAGGTAGTAACACCGAACCGAACAAAGAAGAAAATGTGCATTACAAACACACCCCTAAAATAAAATTATATACAAGAATCAACTTTACACACAAAAGCACACCTGCTCCCAAGTATGTGTATGCATATCAAAAAACAAAACTTGCTAAAAAGAAAACACTACACTCTGCTAATTAAAAGGTTTGCGCTGTGGTGCACTTTTTTTTTTAGGCGTTCTATGATGTTGGTACACTATTTTAAAGGGTTCCATGGAAAAAAATTAATTGGGAACCTCTGATCTAGAGTATTACATAAAAAATCTAAAAACATAACAGACTTAAAATTGAGGGAAACTATAGTGATAGTGCCCACCTGTGTGGTGCAGACTGGTAATTCTATCGGCGCTGGTTCAGGCTCGCATTAAAACTTCTCCCATAGATAAGCATTGTATAATGCGTGGCGCTGGGTGTTCTCATGCATAGTAAGGACGTCCACAGCATAATGATGTCCAAGAGTCGCCTAATGACCCCGAAGGCCCTCTAGTGGCTGTCTGGTAGACAACCACTAGAGATGGAGTTAACCCTCAAAGCTAATTATTGCAGTTTATTAAAATCAGAAATAATTACCTATGCAGGGTTAATGGACCTGGGACATTGCACCCAAAATACTTCAATGAGCAGAAGTGATCTGGGTGCCTGTAGTGTCCCTTTAATAGTATAAATCTCCCAATTTGAGTTTTGTAGACTAAAATGTAACATTCAAGTTGAATTCCCAGAAGACCAGTGGATGGCAGTGCGGTTGCTGCAGCCAGTTTAATGTGAAATGCAGTGATGAATATAATTTATCTGGTGGGAGAGGTACCAGAGACCTCCTGTACTAATAAAGATAATATAATAATAATAATATAAGGTGTGTCTGCCAGGGAAGTTATAGTGCTGGCACTGGGCTATGCTAGAGGTTGCATATAGTTATAATGTATTTTATAGTAAAGCGCTATACTGATTACTCACCCACTAATGCTGTGACCTCTCTCACCTGAATCCCTTACCCATAAACCAGCGGGTCAAAGTTATAGCGGATAGAGAGCCATCTACAGCAACTCACTCTGCCCAGGCTTGGAGTCCCGTCCCAGCAGCCTTTGCGCCGGCTCACAAGCCACCCTAAAACACCTTTGGGACCCTCTATCTGAGAGCCTGGATAGGAGCCCTTACATGACCCCCGCTATCTCCCATCGCCGGGCAGACCGCTATCAAGGAGCCAGGTGGGCGCATTCAAATAAAATAAACATTAAATATTAAGGGAACTATATTATGCGGCGGAGTGATATGGATAATATGACAATAGGTTTGGAAGGACTTAATGCGTCATCAATAAGCGACCGCAACGATGAAGAGCGTCACCAGGGGGCGGGCGTAAGAGAATAAGTTTTGATTGGTCAATTTCTGTGCAGCTTTCACTAATCTCAGTGTGGAAGGAATGGCTGAGTGAGCTGTGTATGGGGATGGGGGGAGGAGTGAGCCCAGGGCTGGGACCTTACTGGGAATTTAAACATTTTAGTTTACACATAACTCTGAATAACTCTGTATGAGTGAGAGTTTCACACTATCTATAGGGAACCTTTTATTATTATTATTTTTTTTTTTTTAAATCCACTTTGCATGGGACCAGCTTTGGCTGGGAAATAAAATGCCCAGTTGAGAATAAAATACTTTAAAATTAAAAATGACCTTAATTTTACATCATGTGGTCTATTCACTAATTGTAACTAGATGATAGCAAATAAAATCTAAATTGTAAAATTAAAGCTATATTACACAAACTGTGACTATTGGAGACTATTGCAGTTGGAGAATTCTATAGATTAGCTATTTCACATTTAATAATGCCACTCAGATCTCCAATGTGGTTCAATAAAGAGTTTACAGAGTAACCCTTTTTATTGCCAGATGTCCCACCTGAACATATTGCTGCTATCGTTAACACCCTCAACTTGTTTCCTCTTGTAGTTTGAAATCTTGAATATGATAATTTAGCTCCTCTATTGAATATTGTTTTTTTTGTACTTTGAATTGCATTCATATTGTGCGCCACTGAAACTTCTCTTGTCCCTTCAAACTATTTTTATTATACTAACAAAATATAAATGTTATGCTATTTTAAATTATATTATATTAAATTAATGCCTGGGTGGGGGAGGGGGGTTTGCGAGGGGGTGGGCAGAGGGAACTATAGTCTAAGGAATACAGATTTGTATAGAATCCCTTAAGTAAAAAGTCAACCAGCTCTGGGGGCGGGGCTTAGCCGCCGATCAGTCTGGTCACACTAAATGTGAGCTCATAGCAGAAACCCGCTAAAAAGCGACATTTTGCTGACGAATCAAGCTAAAAACTACTGAATTGGTGCAGCAGAGCATCAGTGATACCCCGAGATCAACCAGGTGGATTTCCAAGCTCGGAGAAGCATCCTGAGACTGACCACAAGTTGTGGATTACCTGTGGATGCAAGCAGGGGAGAGGCGGTCGATCTCTCTGTAAGCAGTCCTGGGTGAACTAGCTGCAGCGCCTCGGTCCCCTTCCCCCCCCCGCTGGTGATGGATATCCCGGCACAGCCAATCAACATACAAGCTCTACTGCAAGGCAACAAGTGGAACCAGGGAACTCACCTAATCCTGAAACATCACATTATACCACAGCCTGAGCCAAGATGGTGACAGTGTCTCTGACCACAAAGACACAAGGCCTGCTGGCAAGTTTCGACCAGCGGTTGGACGCAATCTTGAGAGACTTTTGGTGGAAGCTGTGGCATAGAGTTGTACAGACACCAACACTACGTGGCTGGCAGGCTTCGGAGTACCTGATCAGCCTCCAGACCAAAGAGGCCGGGGAAGAAAAAGAAGGCAAGCCTGAAAGCCACATCCTGACCTGAATTGTCCAACACTCGCTACTGCTTTCCAAGACCTAGAGTCCGAAGGGGGACAACCCTGGTGCATGACCCTCACCCTCGGCGGAAGCAACCACAAGCTCAAGCGGTGGCAGCATCTTACCGAGACCATGCTTACGGTGGCGTGAGAAACCGGAGCAGTGGGGTTCAAACAGAGGCTCCCGAGATGGCCTGGGGCTGGCGGAGTGGCCCAGTGTGGACTTTCCGGGCCCTGTCTCCATACCCAACTCTGATAGTCAGCAAAGGTATCGGGTGACAGCCGGCCAGAGGGGTGTCAGACACAAGCTGCAGACTTGGCTAAATAAAACTGTAGGCTTCCTTACTTCACGGTGAAGTGTCACCCTGGCTTCCAGCAACCATTGACTCTAGATATTATGTTGATGCCTTTTTCGCTTACTTATTTTATCTTAACATGCATATCTAGAATTAAAGGACAACTATAGGCACCTAGACCACTTCAGCTCAATGAAGTGGTCTGCGTGCCAGGTTCACCTAGTGTTAACCCTGCAGCTGTAAACATAGCATAACATTTTTTTCTCTTTTTTTTCCCCCCTTATTCCCATCCTCTCTCCCTTCGTCTCTGTTTTTCTACCTTCCTCACATTTTGTTTTGCTACCCTCTGAGTCTTGGCTTTCTTCTTTGAATACATTTTTGGTCTTTAGTTCTCATTCTAGTCTTCCAAACTCAATTTCAGGCTCTGATTTAATCCTCCATAAATTCTTTTAATCCTTGCATTAGGAGTAGGTTTTTTTGTCCTCTATATTATACTTGCTCTCATTTTTATACAATTCCTGAAAGAACAAAATCATGAAAGATTAAACAAAGAGGTTCACATATTTTCACACTTAGCTCCTTAAATACTCGTGGGTGAATACCATCAAGTTCTGGAGCTCTGTTTGCCATTAACTTGTTTTAGTTGCTATAGCACTTTGTCTTGAGTTATCCAATCACAAATTTTCTGCAAGTCTTTTTGCAGCAAGCATATGCATACCTCTTGCCATAGTTTCCCCTTTAATAAATACTGATGAAAAATAATTATTTGATATTTCTGCCTTTCTGTGGTCTTCATTAACTAAGATATTGAAGTTGTTCCATTTATCCTCTGTTTTTTTTTTCCACTGAAGCGTTTATGCCAGTCAATGAGTTGTAAAGATGCCCTTATCTTATTGAAATTGGCCTTTTAAAAATTTATATGTTTTAATATACCCCATGTGCATTTGATTTTTTGAGTTTATTTCAAAAGATTGTTTGTATTGTGCTCACTATTTCCCAAGTGCTCCCCTACTTGAATGTTTGTCAAAAGATAAGCATTGTTTGTTATAACCAGATCCAGACAAGCATCTTTTCTAGTTGGTGCTTGTACCAATTGCGACATGAAGGTGTCATTGAATACGTTTAAAAACCTGATTCCTCTTGCTGCTCTACTAGTCCCTTTAGCCCAACTTATGTCTGGGTGATTAAAATCTCCAATAATTAACGTGTTACCCAGATGTGAAGCTTTCACAATTTGCTCAAACAGCTGTTCTTCCTCATCAATATTAACATTGGGTTTATAGCCTATCCAAACCAATAATTGATTTACCTTCTTTTGCCCCAATATTGATATCTACCCATAAAACCTCCACAGTTTCCTCATCACAATCCACTTGCTAAATATTTGACTTTAACTCATGGTTGACATACAAACATGCCATACCACCTTTAGTGTTTTTCTACCCTTCCTAAATAATGTGTAACCTGTGTAGGTTTAAGTTAACAGTCATGTGTGTCATCCCACTATGTTTCTGTTAGTGAAAGCTATTGCTTCTAGTTCCGCCATTTTGTTATTTAGACTCCTTGCATTAGTAAGCATACATTTAATATTATGATGAGGAAAGTTATATAGTGAGGTTGACTATTAGTTGCAAACTAATCTATTATTTTATTTATATAAAAAAATACAATAGGAATATCATAGCTATCTCTCTCTGGCCATACTTACAGAGTAATTTGCCAGATCATTGTGGAAAGGTAAAGAAAAGCACAACCAAATGGTTTTAGCACAACCAGATTTCCAGATTTTTTCAGATGTCTTTGTTTGTTTTATTTTTATCTACATGTTTTGCTGTAAGTTAGCTCTTGCTGGCACTGATGGTGAAAATGCTAGACGTGCCTGCGTTTGTTCTCTGTAAAATGCCAGAGCGCGCATGCTCATTGCTAAGACATCAGGGGATGGCATAGTCACCACATGATGGAGATGCAGCGGTAGTTGGCTCTTAGCCAATCACCAGCACCTAATAGCAGAGAAGACAGTTCGAAGACAGCTTACCACCTTGCTTTAAGATAGGACTCCAGCTCTCAAAACCGCTTCAATGACTTGAAGTTTTTTGAGGGTGGAAAGCCTCTTAGAGCAATATCAGATGAAGTGTTATTATTGCATTGCATATGGGCAGCGATTCATTTATACTCCGTTCACATCATGCTCATCATAAACAATTAATTTTATTCCTAGGTTCTGAAATTTTTTTTGTTAAAAGATAAATTATAAAATGATCGCTTTCATAATGAATCTGAAAATCTGCCACTAGATGGCATCAGAGCAACAGACAACTCAAATACTGAAAATAAATACAAATGAAAAAACAGGGATTTACCCCAAAGCACAATAATACAAATGATCCAATAATCCCATTAATTCAGTTGCCATCATTTCTATGCAGTTGACAAGTTTCTACAGTTTCTAAGCACTGTGGCTAATTCTAGTCCTAATCTCCCCACTAAAAAAGGCCTCTCTTTTGTGCACTGCAACATCCGTAGTTTACTCCCTAAACTGGATGCACTGCAAGCCTGGTGTTCCCATTACAAACCAAAAATCATTGTGCTCTCAGAATCATGGTTAACGGCTAAAATACCAGACACCGCCATTGCAATACCGGGTTATTCATGTTTTAGAAATGACAGAGCAAAGAGAGGAGGAGGCATTGTTATTTATGTTGACAATTCCATAAAGTTTACCCCTTTACAAAACCTTAGTCCTCCTGCCATCTTTGATTTCCTTTCTGGCACAATTGAGATCCCGTGCAGTAAATCAATCATTGTTGCAGGAATCTACCGCCCACCTAGCTCCCCTGTGCATTCCCTTTCTGACATAGCCCATCTCCTTAGTGAAACCATAGCTCAAAACCCAAAAAGTGAACTGTTGGTCTTTGGAGATTTTAATATTGATT